TTATAAACTTTTCTCCATATTATTTACAAATCATTGAAATTAACAAAAAATATCAGCCTTATTTTTATGTGATCATCTAGTTAAAAAATGTTTTTATTTTGTACTAACAGATACATTACTAATGAATTTAAAAATATTTTATCTTCCATAGGGTCGACTGAGTATAGATCGTTTGTATTGTCGATTAACGTACCACCGGCAACGCATCAATTTGATCTTTCACATACTAAGATTATTGAATTTGTGTTTGTTGCTACATACATTGTTAACACTAATATCTTAGAAGCTTGTAAAACGTAGAAAAAAAGAAAAAGGAAATGGAGATTAAAGCGTTTTATACTTGTTGTAATAGAGCATTGTATATCGAAAATGACACAAGACGGCAACTGAAAATACTTATAGATAATCTGAAAAAAATACAAGTTAATAAATATTAAACTTGTCAAAACATCTGGACAAAATAATTAGCAAAGGAATGTCTCTTTCTACCAGCAATGAAATCTAGGTTGCTTTGTCAACGGAATTACAGTTTTAATTATCGAAGTTGTTTTAGAATTATTGTACATGATAAACACTTATGATTATGGATCTAGAACAATATTGTAGTCAATATATTTGTGATGGGTTTCGGTACTTCTGACAGCATTAGCTCTGCCAATCATATCCATTTGATTTCACTATACATATGACAGGAGATAAGATCATGTTGCTGATGAAAACTAAATTTTCTGGTCAAACATGTGAAATAGAAATAAGTTCAGTATACCTTTGGAAAATCGAATAAAAAAACGTATTATCAGTTACAAAAAAATCTTTCTCTGACATTCTACAAAAATGTATTATATGAATCGGAAATAATGAATTGAAGAAGTTTTATTTGTTTCATTATTTTGTTTTATTAAATTCTAATGTTTAGAAAGATTCAATTATGTTCGTATCCATAAATCATCAGCCACTATTTTGGACATACGTTACGATGAATACAAAGACTACCAGTGCTGTTATTCATGCGCACATAATCCGAAAGACGACAAAAACATCCAGTGATACATTGTTCCGTGCAAAATTCAGGCTTGTTATTACAAGTTTCGGGACATGCTGAACCACAATCGGTGAATACTTCGTTCATGCCACAACATTCTTTGGGTTCAACACATCTACCATCTTTCGTACGATACAAGCCTGCCTTGCAGAAACAACCTTGAACGCACATTTTTGGACATTTTTTTGGTGGTTTTGGAAGTGGATAAGACCAATCTTCACATACCGGTGGACATGTAGAGCCACACGTCAAGAACATCTCGTTCTCACCACAATTGTGAACGTCACTTGGCTTACATTCTTCACGTTTGATGCAACGGCTTTCGGTATCGTTCGATTCTCGTACATATCCTTCTTTGCAAAAACAGCCGAACTTACACACCTTTATGCAAATTTTAGGTTTGTAGTCGCATGTTTCAATACAAGTTAAACCACAAGTGTATTCTTCGTTTTCACCACATTGATTAACTACTATTCATTGAAAAACTTTCAATTGATCAACACCTATTCTAGAAATATTTTTACCTAAACTTTGAGCAATCGCAATATGCACAAGTAAGAGTTTGATAAACACATGTAGAATCAAGGCCATGTTTCGAATATGCGAATCGTAGTATCGGAATGAATGAGTACAATACCATATGGTTGGGCTTTAATAAATAGATAAAACGCGATAGAAAGAGAACGAAGGTTGAGATTATAGCACGATGGTATTAGCCAAATGGGAGGCGAAAGCTAAAGTGCGACACAAACATATTTAATACCATGGGAATAAATGCAGATCTGAATCAAAGTCCGAAAAAGTAATAAAGAATGCGATAGAATATAGGATGACTTATTTTCGATTTCAAGAGAGAGAGGGACCTTAAAGTCCATCATCTCTTATTTTATACTTTTAAAATTAGACTTGTTGGTTTTAATCGGTGTTTGTCACAGTATCAGGATTGATTTTCAAGATGCCTCGCATCTGAGATTTTTTTTCATCCCGTCGACATTATACATGAAGTAGAAAACGGATCTATTTTTTTGTTATGTCAGGACTCATTTAGAACGGTACTACTAGAGATCTAAAATCGCAATTTAATGACTAGGAACATCTTGAACAATTTTTATAGTCATTGAATTACGTGTTTCAAAATTAATGTAATAAGCCAGTTCATCCATGAATATAATAACAAATTCTTAATTGCATACATAGCGTATTCGGTCAATATTCCACATCATTGCTGCTTCTTGAATTATTGAGTCGATCAACAGTAAAGCAGATCATCTAAGAATGTGATATATTGATAGAAAAAAAAAAGAACAACGTTCTTTTCATACCCACATCCGCATATCATAAATGTGAATATACATGTGAACACGTCGATCAAATTTTGATTGTTCACAATTAAAATCAAGCACTATAAGAATGTGTGTAATGTTTAGTAAATTGAGCGATTGATGACTTTCATATGAGTTCGTATCACCGAGCCACAGATATGATCGTCGATCCTATCATCTAAGAAGACTTATTGAGAAGTAGTGATAATGATAGTTTCACACCTGAGTTTTAAAATCATCAACGATTCTAATGAAGTAAGAAATGATTATAGTCATCTATATGTTTTTTCTTGGCGTCAAACTAATACAATATTTATTGCTTCTTTTGTTTTTGATTTTATAGACAACAGAATTCTTGTAATATTCAATGGCTCATGAAAGAACAAATGATGTTTGCTGTATTAAAATATTACTATCTAAATATATGCATAACACAGGTTAATTTATGATTTCTTCATTTTTTGCGTAAACAATCCGAGGAAAAAATTTGAAAAAATTGAGATTTTTAAAGAAAAGTGCTTACTTCAGGCTCACTCAGTGACGGGTCACCATGGTGGCAAGGTGTGGCAGTTGCCATACCAAAATTTTCGTTCATTATGGGCTTTCCTGTACGACTATATTTTTCGATCCAATCTTTAATCGGAAGTGAGTAAAAAAAATTAGACCAGAAATGACTCCTGCTTTTTCATAGAGGTATTCTCAGATACGCTCGATTTACCTATTTTTTCTCGAAGTGATATAATGGTTGATCGAAAATTATTTGGACAAAATGTTTGTTCACTTTTGACTCGCCTGAAAGTATTTCCGACGAGTCAAAATCTATGCGTTAGAATCAGAACTTTCTGATCTTTCCGAATATGGGCTTAGAAATTTTATGTCGATTTCTGTTCGAGAGTAGTGAAATAATCTTTGAAAGACCCAACAAATTAATTTGGACGGAACGCTTGGGTCGAAGTTTCTGATCAAAATATTCATTTGTTTTGGCTTGCTTGAAAGCATTTTTAGATGAGTCAAAACTATGGATTAGGACCAGAATTTTGTGCTCTTTCTGGATATGGGTCTAAACACGTTGTGTCTATTTTTGTTCGAGAGAAGTGAGGAGACCTTTAAAAGGCTTAAATAGTTAGTTTGAACTGCGAAGAAACAGGTTCTGCTAACCCATACAAATTTCTTTGTGAAGATGCTAAAAATTCTCGGATACCGTAGTTTCGTAGAGCAAACAATTCTTTACAAAATATGATATTGAACTAAGCTGTAGCTTTTCCCAAGGTAAACTATACGCATTTTTCCAAGAGCTACTGTCCAAATAAAACGCTTTTGATAAAAAAACGATTTTTCAAAAATGACGATTTAGGAAAAACGAATACTCAGAAGTCTTGTCCATAGAAAAAAAATACTCACACAGTACATTTTGTAGGATAGGTTTTGTTCTACAAGCTCGTATAATAATGAAGGTTCCATCTTTTAGTTTCGGATGACAACAGTAAAAATACAAAATGTGTGGACAAAATTTCCGTCCAAACTAAGTTTTTGGACCTTTCAAAGATTGTTTCACTACTCTCGAACAGAAGTCGGCATAAAATTTCTAAGTCCATATTCTGAAAGAGCACAAAATTTTGATTCTAACGCATAGATTTTGACTCGTCGGAAATACTATCAGGTGGGTCAAAAATGAACGAACATGTCGTTCAAATGATTTTCGATCACCCGTTATTTTGATTGTATTGATGAAGTTTTTTTATGAAAAGTTTGTGATGTCATATTTTTTTTGTTGCTTTTAAGAATGAAAATAATACATATAATATGAACAAGATGCCTACAGTAGAAACTTAGTATGAAAATCAAAATATATGAACAAAATTTAAGGTTCTATTTTTTTTATAAGTTCCTTACACTTTTTAATAATTTTGCCATATCAAAAAAAATGACCCTGGCCCGCCGATGGGTTCATTTCTGTAAATGTTAATGTATCTCAATAAATTCGTTTTAATTTTCAATAGTAAACATAAAAGAATTTTTCAATGCAACAAATCATGTTGCTTGGGTGACTAGTTAACAGAGAAAGAGGTACCATGACACATGCTGCTTCGCTTTATTTGGAGTCATATATGTTGTTCTGTGGCTATGTACTTTGTAAGTTACCATATTGTAATGAGTCAGAAAAGAGAGATATAGTTCTGATGCAAGAAGCTCGAAAATTCTTTTGATATTGACATGTCTGTTTGTATTCATACGAACTCTTCTCCTACTTTTCGTTTTTACGTGTTGTTTTTGTTCAACATTTCATATATACCAACTTAATATTTCTTCTCGATATCGAATACAAAGATAAATTCAAATGTAGAACAGCTTTTTCGATTCATACACTTATCACGTTTTAACAAAACATTTTTCTTTCACATAGTCATCTTGTTTTTTTTTTACTTCAATATTCAATGTGCAAAGATAGACTAGAATTATTCATTTTTTGAAGAAGCTCAACTCATACTGTTTTACCTATTAATAAAATCTTATTACAAATAGATGAAGTTCATTTTGGACAACTGCTTCGATCCCATATTATGAGATGTCTTAACTGCAATGCCGAGAGAAGAAAAACCAATCTTTGAGAGACTACAGTCTCTATGTTGGATAGATCATTTCTTTTTTCTACTAAAAATTACATCATGTACTTGTTTCAAGTTCATTTCAGGTGTCAAACGTTTAAAATAGACATTGTCACGCATAACATCATCCAAATGATAACCGATTGAAACACATGTTTCTTCACTAATTGGAGCGACGGATTTAGTAATACGACCTCTTAAGTGTTCAGACAAATAGTATCCTGTTCGACCTTGTAATGGAGCACAGATGAGACTATGTACAATCGAATGACGAGGACAACAACGAGTAAAAATATCTACATAGTAGCGAACAGCATCATCATGTTCATATTTCCACAACCATGTGAAATCAGCATAAGGAGAAAGAGCAGTTAATCGTACATTGATGTCAGATTTTAGAACACCATGACCTACTTCAAGATTAATGCCGATGACTACGATGCATTTTGATTTAATCTTATCTGAGGATAAAAGTTGAACAGCACGTGCATGTGACATGTCTTCAACCGGAGTTCCTATAATAAATTAATATTTTCAACAAAGAGCTTTCCAAATAATGTATATTATTTATCCAATTGTTGTTCATTGCCTGTTAATAAAACATCTGAGCCACCATCAATCAAGACGAGTTCATCAATAGTACGTTCTTGTATTAAATATTTATAGGCTTCGACGATTAAATCAATACGTGTTTCATCATGATCACATAAGATCGCATAAATAGGCATTCGAAATTCATTAGCAAGACGTTGTTTAGGAAAATAGATATTATCGGTCAGTCGGCTGACGTCCGTTCTTGGATCAACACGAAAGAGTAATTTTGTTAATTGTTGGCTGTATTTAGATAAAAGATTATGTTTTGTGAAAGTATAATTGATAAGTGTAACATCATAATTTCCAGAAGATTTCATTCTAAAATAATATGGTAGAGCACCAAATATATCATAGTCACCTCCACAACTAGCAAGAAAAACCGTTTTAAATGTTTCACTTGTCATAGTTGTATTATTTCACTTGACAAAAACAAATCTATTCCAAAGTCGTAGATTTTATACCTCTCACTCATGAGTCAAAAAGAAAAAAAAAAGAAGAACAAACAACATAATATTTTTTTCTGCTTATCAATGGTGATTGCTTGTTGTTCTAACCTATAGCAATGAAGATAGAAACAAGAAAAATAAACATGCTGTTCAGCATGTTTCTATCCTTTTACATCCAACCTCAGTTGGTCAACACATTTGCTTATCTTATGAAAACAATTTAATAGTATTTTCTCTTGAAAAGCTATAAAATTTCTAACCTGAAGGTGTTACGAAAAGACGGATAATTGTAACAAGTGTTTCGATTTATGTTCAAAGACACGATCGTATTATGAATACGACGACATTTTTATCATTGAAATCGATGCAATGAGAGTTTTAGTAGAAATTTAGTATTCTGAATCGACGTTCTAAATCTTTGTGTTGGTGATGAAACAATCGAAACCTTAATGATTTTTCGACCTCTTTCATATCGCATATTGTTAAAAATTATTGACTTATAAATTCATGGTTCATTAGCTAAAACTAGAAGAGTAACATAAAACAAAAAAGTCTATAGTGATGGGCTTTCATAACTGAACGTATAAATCAGAATAAGTAATATTATTTTTGTAATCATAGCACCATAAATCTGTGACCTCTTTTTAATAGAGTTGTTTTGCTTTACTAGTTTTTAACCATTTCGCAGAGTAGCCACATCAGTAATTAGAATTTTTGGATAGATTGATGATAGTGTCAAATAAATATCATAGACTTAAAGTAAAGGTTCATCTAATTGAGTAGCTCGATAAACACAAATTTAAAAGTTTTTGATCAGCAAAAAATACTTTTTCTCGCTATTTTAGTAATAAGATACTTTGAGATTGTAATAAGTGTTCAACTTTGTCAAGTCTTTCTTCATCAATGTCGATTTATTGCTCAGTATCATCTATTATTGACATTATTATTCGATCAATAATTTGTTCTGTATTTAAACATTTTTTACGATCAACACAGGTCAATATCAATATACTAGGATGATGATAATTTAAGGATGAAAAATAGAGCATATTGGTTATCACAATTTCACTTCATTTGAGAAGATCATCAGATGACTTTGATCTGAAAATAGATCTGTCTCAATAATTGATTAATTCCATACTGTTTCGTAAATTGTCAGCTACGACTAACAATGTCGCTTTTGAGATTCATTCTAGCAGTATAGACATATCTTGTGTTGGTTTCTTGGATCATTATAGACAGATTTGCAAATATCTAATCATCTGATGCTTCTTTTAGCAGTGATGAGATTACAGCAATCATGGTATCGTAGTTGCTCTAGCACAATCAAGTACATAATGCGTTAGCCTAGTATTCGATTCTCCTTTATTTCCTTAACTGTAGGAAGAATCAGATGACGTAAGTTTACTCAGAGAAAATTTCCCGGACGCAATGCCTCTCCGACGACTGGAAACCACTTGGATCGAATTGTTCCAAATTGGCGAATTACGGTCAGTTTCAATTATTGGATCTCACCCGGAACAATTGGACTGGATCGATACATTTCGCTAAAAGAACTTTGTTAATAAAGCATTTATTAAAGAAAAGTGCATACGGCCCTATCTGATTGTCTTTTGTAACACTATGACTACGAGTTCAAAATAGTATAGTGTAGACTGCTGCTGAACTTTTGTAATAGTACTGGCTTGTTCATAATGAATACTTTTCTTCATTGCAAAAATATTCGCATATATACTGAGTATATGTTGGGTGAATCTACGACCCGACAATCGTTGGTCGACTTTTCTGTTGCAACAGATGATGTACGAAAAAGTATATTGGATGTGCATATTGAAAAAAGGAGCAGAGGTATCTCCTCAGTACCGCCTAGTATTTTGTACAGCGATACTGATCAAATGTTTGATATCGACAACGAAAAGGAAACTGCCTACCGAGCATGGGTCGGACGGCAAACAGCAAAAAATTGACACAAATATATACGTGCACGATATAAGGAAAAGAAGGTTATGCCTAAAACAAAGGCATCCTCTTGAGACAACGTCTGACATCAAGTACAATTTGACTATCATTTAGAAGTGGAAGTATTCTGACAGATCACCTTCTACATTCAAAAAATTGTCTCCATGAAAAGAATATTTCGCAGAGCTCTACAATATGACTGCTGTTAGACATGAGACAAAAAGTACTTTAGAATGAGATGATACTAGTGACATCTCAACAGATGAGATTCAGGCGGCAATAAGAGCATTCAAATCCAGAAAGGCTGTATATATCGATGAAATCAAGTCTGATATGATTAAGTCGCTCAAACGACACGAGATTCATTGGCTTACTCATCTGTGGCTAGTAACTACCTAGACGGAAGAAATAGCTTCACCAAATCGGTAGATCAGCATCATCGTTTCTATATTTAGAAACGGTGTGGATCCTCTCTTCGCCACAGACCTACACCCACACCTTAGTTAACTTCGACTGTCTTCAATCAATGTCTTTGATTAAGACAGAGAATAGAATCAAGAATTTCGAAACAGTTCTGCCAGCGAGTATGACAATCAAGTCGTTCATACGAAAACAGAAGCTAAGTAAATTCATAGATAGGTAATCACTTTTCTGGAAAACATTTTCTTTTCAGCTTTTTTCGTACCAGCTAGGCGGAAAGTAAGAAGAACATACCTTTGGCTATAACATTTAGGGCATTGACTGTGGAATAGTAGGAAATCTAGATCATTCTTAAGTAACATGTCAGTAATATCTTGAATATTTCGGTAGAGAAGCAGAAAGATGTTCGGAAATTTTTATAATAACCCATTTTATGCAACACTTTACGCTAACCATTCTGGTTCTATAGCTGAATATTTAAGATACTACTGAAATTTTTCTTTAGGATGATCTAGATCTTCCACAATTTTATATTCACATTGCTATTCTTTTCTAACCAATGAAGTTTTCGCATAACTTCCCACCTAACTAGTATGGGAAAAGTCGGAAAGAAGACTTTCTCCAGAAAGATGGTTGTACATTCATGGATTCATCTAGAGTACATAAATCAACGTAAAGTGAAGTCAGCTATGTTACAGATAGCTATATTGACAGTGAAATCCAACGTGATACAGGCACCAGTTTTCTTTTGTATGTCAAGAATAATAGATTTGAAATAAAACTCGATGTACTAATCTTCATGTTTACTACTTCTTTAGTTCATTTTTTGGGTCGTCCACTGCCTGGAATATTATCAGGAAAGAAGTAGACACTAATCATATCGATTGCATATCGAGTGGTTATTTGTTGCCATGGAAGCGCGTTGATTTTAACTCGAATGAGCATGGCCATCGCATCGGGTATTACTTTTCAAATTTTTTCTTCAAAAGGTAGACACAGGCGTGCTATGATGATATAAGAACAATTCGATAACAATCGCTAAGTAGCCAGTTACATTTACTTACATGGATTCATCATATCAGTCGGTATATAAGAATGAATACCAGTCGAACTGATTAATTCATTTCTTTCATTGTACCATTCAAGTTGAATCTGAACACTCTCATCATATCCTGCCATAGAAGCAGAGAAAAAGTAGTTGTATGGTGCACCTGAATAGAGAGATCGTGGAAAATGAACATTTTATATATACTCAGCATTCATACCAGCATCAGCCTGAAAATAACAATTTCCCTGTCATTGAGGGTCATCTTGTCGTAGTAATGAATCGGATCTGTCGTAGGACATGCGATGTATTTGACTGTACACTCGAAACTATGCATTCTTTGGTATTTTTGAAGAATCGGACTTGAACTCATCGGGAAAAGCTCGACCGATGTCCGAATCGGACAATGTTTCGCATGAAACTTCGGCATCACCATCATATAAATCTGTACGTCCATTATACCAGGCATATTATCGACTGGCAGCAATCACAAATACAAACAGTAATGCTAATCAATACATGTCCATGTAAAAACAATATTGAGTTATACTTTTTCTTATTTGATATATTTTGAAAACGGTTTCTTCCAAAATTATTGATACTTTAAATCGCATTCATATCATATTTCTCTTAGGTATTACATTGATAAGAAATAAACGAGAGGAGCAGTGCAGGATTCAATGAGAAAGTGTCAGTAAGAGTGAGAAAGTAATACTGGAATCGACGGAATTCAGCAAGCAAGTCGTATTGTGTTTAATGATGATAGGCAAGAAATGAGCATAGACTTAACATGTACGTGATTTTTCTAGCTCCACAATACGACTTTTTAATGCATGCCTCCATAATGGTCACTTCATTTAAAGATCACCATTCAACAGAAAATGTTGACTTCTACTTAGAACACAGCTAATATGACTTAAATACTATCCTGTGCCAGCCACTGCTAGCTTTATCTACATACTTCTACATTTTTCGATTTCCAATGAAAAAAAGTACTATGTCCATCAGATTGAATAGATACGAAGGGCATTTAC